GTCTTCAGGGGGGAGTGTTGTAAAGAATGTGATGGAGCTCGCACAAAGAAAATAAGAAAATGATAGTCAAAAGTTTAATGATGATATTGGGGGAAGATTTTGGAGATGCATTGCACATCCACGGGAAGCTAAGAGACTTTGCCTATAAGTGGACTTCCTCCCTTCATTGTAATACATAGAACATAAGAAAATCCCATTGAAAATATCAGATTTCTGTCACAGCTTAATTTCTCTAAATTCTCTCCACAATCTCTTTAATTTTATAACACAACTAGGTTTTGTTTTATCAGCATGAAAATTGAGTAGTATAGATATAATAATAATAAATGATGAAGATAAGAAAGCATGGACAACTTATCTCTTTATTCAGGTAACTCAACTGGTTTGCGAGAGTATTCGTGTTAATAATGTGTTGTAAAATAAAAGGTATATGCGAAAATATTAAACTGCATGTAAAGTAAATAAGATATAATATTTAATGAGATTCTTCCATGCGTACGTTCTCAGAGTATAGCAGCAATAACTTTTCCATTATATAAAGTAATGGCTACAACTTTAGTATTTGTAATCTCTCTAACTCATTTTCTTCTCCAATGGTGTTGAAGCAAAGAAAGGAGGAAGCCTTATTTATAGGCAGAATTCTGTAGCTGTTCACTCAAAAGTCTTTGGCTTCACGTGAATGGTGGCAGACAAGCTTCACCATTTTCCTTGTGTGGACTCCAATAGTTAGTGGCTGACTAAGCCATTATCCTTACAACATTGAAGGACTAATTATGCATATTCCTTTTGATTTTTTGTGATTTTTGTGATTTTTTTTTTGGTCGATTCCTTTTGATTAATCATGGTTGATATTTAGATGCCATTAATGACTATTTAAGACAACCACGACAAATTGCCAGAATAGTTTTCTTCGCCGGATCCCACCGACACCCAATCACCCAATTATAAAATTTCCTGCAAATCCACAACCTGTCTCATTCTCATTACTAAACTTCACAGATCAGGGCTCATCCAAATTAGTATGCTAATAAATAATAATAAACCCCATAATTAATTTTCTTTATTTGGCCAAATATAGTCTAGAAACTTAACAGCACCACTCAACTGAACAGCATGGATAATCCGATATCCCTACTGTACTAACGACCATAACAAGCACAACAGCCAGATTATGCTTACACAGAAACTAATTAAACCCGCATCCAAACACACCCACTATAAAACAGCAGAAACCAAACCGCTCGAACCGGACCGGATCATGCGTTGAGTATGACGCCGTTGCTGGACACCGTCATCCGAGTTACAGTAGTTCCTAACAGCGGTGAGCTCGTACGGGTACGTATCTGTGGCCAGCCACTGCTCGATCGTGAAGAGCTGTTGGCTGCAAGGAATGTGGGCCCCAGTGGAGGTGACCTCGACGTAGTTGACGTACCAGCCGTGGTGGGAGCCGGATCCGTCGGAGGTGAGGTTGAGGGCGCAGATGGGGGCTTGGAGGCAAGGTCCGCGGCCGCTGAAAATGTCCAAATTGCCCCTCTCGAAGTAGTTGTAATCGGTGCCCATCAACCCGCCCCAGGTCTCGAGGTTCCGGATCTCGATCCCGTAGCCATACGCGTCGTAGAGCTGGACGTTGGCGTTGGAGTCTGTCCCGCCCTTTAAGATCGACCCGGTCCTAACGCAGACCGTGTACACGCAATCCGGGTCCTGTGAAAAAAAATTAGATTAAATATCGCTTGTATAAAAAATAAATTTAATTAGAAAACGACGAAAGGCGAAAGCGAAGATGAAGGTGAATTACGTCGGAGAAAGCGAGGGTGAGGAAGAGGGAGAGAAGGAGGGAGAAGAAGAGAGTGTTGCTGTGGGATGTCATTTTTGCCATGAGTGAAGCTTTGCTGAGTGTGATGTATAGAGGCTTTTTTATAGTAGAAATGATATTAGCTAATCTTCTTTTTTCGGGGGTGAAAAAATCACGTGCTATTTTTGTGTATTGGCCCAGGTCGATGTCTGTTGGGGATGATTTGGTCATTTGGTGTCCAGCAAGGGTTGGCCCATATCTTCCTGTTTATTTTCAACACTTGCCACCTTGTAATGATGAGGATAAAAACAAGATAAGAACAAGGCCAGACTCGGTGTTCGTTTTAGGAAAATTTCATTTAACTACCCGGATGACGTATTAATTACATCTAAAAGTGGAGGCTTAAAATATTAAATATTTTTATGATTGCTAAAATAACATGAATACCTTTTAGGTTAAATATTTTTATGATTGCTAAAATAACATGAACACCTTTTAGGAAGATTCACAATTATACCCAATATAGGAGCCCAAATTATAAAAATACCATATATGAAATAGACTTTAGAAATACACCCAAAGCTTATTTACAACATAACAAAAAGGATTTTAACAACCATAAGGTGTGATGCGGTTGGCAAACTGCCACCTCCAACTGGCGAACTACCTAGTGCCTCAATGACAGGGGTTCGAAACCTGTTGGAAGAACTTGTGGCCAG